ACAGTGACGAGCCGGGCGGCGTGCGACGCTGACGCCGCGGCCGACGCCGCCCCCCTCCGCAGGGCCGAGCGGGTGGTGCTGGAGCGCGAGTCGTGGCAGCAGTGGGTGGGCTGGTTCGAGCGGCAGTGGGCCCGTCTGCAGGGCCGCATCAGTCGCCTGCCCGGCCAGCCCACCGACGAGTTCCTCGCCGTCGCCAGGGGCGTGCTTCAGCAGCGCGTCAACAGGTGGAGGCGGCTGCCGGCGCCCGCCCGACCCGCCGCCGGTAAGCGCCGACGCCGTGACGGCGACGGGGGCGATGATGACGAGGCGGAGGACGAGGACGGTGGTGATCGTGTGGGTTGTATTGGCATTAGCTGACATTCCACATGATTACGTGACTGATTCGTGCCGTTTGCCAAAGAGAATAAAACGGTGATGATGGTGATAACGGTGATATGATGATGATGATGCTGGTTAATGATGTGGACGGTGATTAAGACGATGGTGATGATTTACGATGATGCCGATGCTAATGATGAGGATGATGAGGATGCAGTGTGCTGGCTTGGGCCGTGGCCTGCGGCGGGTTCTGGAAGACCTGCGGATCATTGGTCGGGCGCCGCCTGGGGGAGAGTCGCTCGCAGAGTTCCCGCCAGTGGCGTGACTCGAGGCCCCATCACCTACGCGCTGTAACCTGTCCCATGGTTTCTCCTTGCCCATTTGTCGAATAGCGAATGCAATTTTCGGCGTGTCATTCAGTGCCATGGTACCCACTGGCACTGTGAAAGTACCTGTTCTTGGCGGGGAAGTTCGACGCGCTGGGTTAGAATCCAAACCACTCGGTGCTTGTCCCTGCCAAGTCGCACTGAGTTAGAATCCAAACCACTCGGTGCTGTCCCTGCCAAGACGCACTGGGTTAGAATCCAAACCGCTCGGTGCCTGTCCCTGCCGCCAGCCGCGGATGTCTTTCGATGCACGCATGGACCGGTGCCCGCCAAACCACACGTCGTACCACCAGGTGGCAGAATGAGCTGAAAGTACCGGACTCTCGGTATGCTAGGAAGTTCTGGCTAGGACAAGGATTAAAGCGATCTGTGAGATATGCTACGCGAGTGCTCCACGCCTCCGGCTCTGCTCATGGCTACAGGAGTATTTTTTGGTGTTCACTTAGGAATGTTTCCTGCCCGCTGCAGTCTGGGAGTTCGCCGTGCTCAGCCGTCTTCCTCCTTCATAGCGTATGGTCGGGCGCTGTCTCTGGCCGCCACTTACTCGAAGCGTCCTCCCGAACGCGCTCTTCCGACCGATTGTCTGTTGAGCCTGGGCGGCACGCTCAGTCCCCACGTGCACAGATCCGTCACGCGCCCGGCGCTAAACCCGACGCGACCCCCCCCCCCCCCCCCCCCTCCGCCCCCCCCTCCCCCGCCCCCCATCTGGCCGGGACGCGCCGCCCGTGCCGCGACCGCCCGTCTCGCGGCGCGTGCCTGTCGCCGGCCCGGCAGAGCACGGCTGGCTCTGACGCGTGCGCCCGCCGGCAGGCGACGCCAGCGCCGCGCCTCCGTCGGCCGCCGCCGCCGCCGACGACGACCAGGAGGTGCTGTACGAGGTGGACCGCATCATGGCGCGGCGCCGCGTCGCAGGCGGCGACGAGTTCCTCATCAAGTTGGTGCGGCTTCGGACAGTGAGTGGGGATGGAGCTGTGGGCTGGAGCTGGGGCTGGAGCTAGAGCTGGAGCTGGGAGGCTTGGACCATGGAGCGTCAGCGACGGGGATGGGTGCGGGACGGCGTTGATATGTGGTGAGGAGCGCGGCCGGGCGTTAGGTCCGGTACGGTTGCGTCGATATCTCTGCTTTTACGTTGCTGTAGACTCGGTGCTATCCCGTGAATTGTTGATTGTTTTGTAGTTCTCCGGTAGTGCGGTCTGTTGCGGTGCTGCGCTGTCTTGGCTGGCTCGCCGCCTCCGGCCAGTGGATGGGAAATGATCATGGCTTTTTTGACTCGTCCTGGGACACCAATTCATTGCCACTGACCCCCTCCCCCCCCCCCCTCCTGCCGCCGCGTGCGTGTCCTGTTACCGTGCGCCACGTGTCCGGCTCGGCGTGGCTTTGGCCACATGTCTGGCGTCCATGTGGACGGGCGGCGCACGTGCGGCAGCGGCGACAACACGTGGGAGCCGCGTGAACCTGGACTGCGGGCCGATGCTGGCGCGTTCGAGCGGCGCTGGCGGCGCTGACCGAGCCGCAGCGGCGTCAGCTGGCGGCCGGCTCCGACCCGGCACTCGCACCGCTGCTCGGGCGGCGCCCGGGGGGGAGCGACGGCAGCAACGACACGGCAGGTGAGGCGGACCGGGCGACGGGGAGGGCTGGCTGCAGGGGAGGGGCTTGGACCGGGCGACGGGAGAGCTGGCTGCAGGGGATGAGGCGGGACCGGGCCGACGGGGAGGAGCGGCTGCAGAGGAGGAGGCGGGACCGGGCCGACGGGAAGGAGCCTGCAGAGGAGGAGGCGGGACCGGGCCGACGGGGAGGGGCTGGCTGCAGAGGAGGAGGCGGGACCGAGGCGACGGGGAGGCGGCTGCAGAGGAGGAGGCGGGACCGGGACGGGGGGGAGGGCTGGCAGAGGAGGAGGCGGGACCAAGGCGACGGGGAGGGGCTGGCTGCAGAGGAGGCGGGACCGAGGCGACGGAGAGGGGGCTGGCTGCAGGGGAGGAGGCGGGAACACTGCTGAAGCAGAGAGGAGGCGGCATTGCTGGGGCTGACGTTCCAGAGGGTAGCAGAATTGGGGAGTGCTGAGGAGCATTCTTAGGAGGGGGGAGGTTGGGGTGGCCCAGGAGAACTACAGGATTGGGCAAGGATGGGGAGTACTGACCGACAGCAGTGGACGACCTGGGGGACTGCTCTCGGGCAGGGACCGTCCCTTCCGGAGGACGTCACGGATGGACACGGTCAACTGAGAACGGCTGAAGGGGCACTCAGCAAAGCGGTGGGGAGGTGGAGGGAGGCCTGAGGCTCCTGTTTGTGGCCACAATAACCACGCATACACAGACACATATATAGCAACCACAAGACCCTTAGCGTATGGCCAGGACGCTGCTGCGGCTCCGGGTCTGTATCGTGCTGTCCGGCGCCCCGTCACGTTCCCTGAAAAGGCGTCGAACAACGCCAGCTCGGCCGCGAACCCTGGCCTGGCCGTCAGCTGTTGGTCGGCCCCCGGCGCGCCGCCCACTGACGCGCGCGCTGCACGCAGGGTCGCCGCCGACGCGAAGGGGGACGGCAGCCGGCCGGCCGGCTTGCCCGCCACCGCACAGAAGAGGCGCGCACCGGCCAAGGTCAAGTCAGGTCAGTGACGTCACTGATGAGGTCACGGCCGTGGCGCGCCGCTGGGGCTCCGCGATCGCGTCGTCCTTTTTGTTGTGGCGTCAGCATTAACGAGCCGTGTGCTTTGTTTCCGATTGTTTGTCGTCGTTGGGATAAACATTTTTTTTTGTGGCTATGCTTCTGATAGGTAAGGATGTGCTGTGGTATTGTGTCCATGTGAGTCCATCGAAAGTTTTTGACAGCAGCTAAGGCGTTTGACCATTACGACGTTTCGGATTGGTCAGAATGCATCGCCTTATTGGCCATCTGAAACAGGATGATTTACAGGAGGTTTTCCGTCCATTTAAACCATTAGCGATCGGTACAAGTCAAGTGATTTGTTTGCGTCATTCCGGTCATGGTAATCGAATAGCAGGCCTTGGTGGGCCAAAGGCAGTGAAATGTACCCATTCCACCACGCAGAGCTGTCCCAGTCTTCTCCAGTGCTTGCCGTGGTAAGTTTGAGGGGAGGAAGGACGACAGCTGTTCCAACCGCGCCGGGCGGCCGGCGCCAGTGCGCGGTTCGACCCGATGCCCGTAGTCAGTGACGGCCTGGCGGGGACTCGGTTCGACAGCGTCGCGCCGCTCTAGCCGGAATCTCGTGCTGGTGCTGCTGTCCTGCGTCCTCATCCCCGCTGGCCGTTTTGTGCGGGGTGGCGTCATCAGTCCCGCTGGCCGTTGTGCTGGTGGTGACGTCATCAGTCCGGCTGGCCGTGTTTGCGGGGGGTGACGTCATCGCTCCCGCTGGCCGTTGTGCGGAGTGGCCGGCGGTAGACTGTGACTTGAGAAGGGACGTATGGTGTGCGTCACTGCTCTGTCTCCCGGGTCATGGCGCGTCCGAGGATTGGGGATAGGGCTTCACTGGCCGTTGTTGCTGACTGACCTGACCTGATCTGATCTGATAGACGTGACCTACCCTGACCTGATCATCCGGAGTGGACCTTAAGTGGCCTGACCTGACGGGCGGTGTCACCAGGTCGCCGCCTGCCGTCCGTGCCCCGCCGCCGGCCGGGCCACCCCGCGCTGTGCCGGCCGCCAGCCCCCGACCGCCGGCCAAGAGAGGGCGGCCGCCAAAACTGAAGCGCTGCTCCGGTGGGTGTCCAGCTGTGGCGGCCGCATAGGGGGGAGGAGAGGGGGGAGGGGGTCGCGTCCCAGTCCACTCTTTTCCGCACCGTCTGTGTCTTTACGCCGTAGCCCAAGTCCCAGTCTATGTCCATCTCACTGTTCTTGTCCCCGCCGCTATCCGTGGTGTCCCTTTCTGAGCCTGTGTTTGTCTCATCTGCCCGGTTCCATGTCTGTGTCCGTGTCCTTGCCCGTGCCTGTGTTCGTGTCTGCCCTGTCCATGCTGTCCTTGTCCGTGCCTGTGTCCCTATCTCTTCCACTGTCCGCGTCCATGTTCCTGTCACTCTGTCCGTGTCCCTGCCTGTTTCCGTGTCTGTGTCTGTGTCGGTATCCCTCAGCGGGGCACACTCGACCGATGGTCAGTGGCACGGCCGCAGCTGTGCGGGAGCGAGGTCGGCCGGCCTGGCCCGGCCTCGCCCGTGGCTCTGCCGCCACCGCCTTCGACTGTGGAGTGTGGCGGGCGCCGTGTGCGCGCAGCTGAGTGTCGGGTGGTGCGGCTAGGAGGGCGGCGCGCCCGAGCTAAATAAAGACCGACCTCCGCTCCGGCAGGGACGGAACGGCAGCGCCGACCGCCACGCCCGGCCTCAGGTGAGAACGGCGGCTCCAGCGCCCACCGGCCAACGGCCACGTGTGCTGGACAGACCACGGGCCAGCGCCGCCGGTCGGGACCATCGTGGACGCCTGCTGCCGGCTTGTTGGTGACTGCCATCGGACGGGGAGAGGGCAGTTGCTTTCCTGCGGCAAAGACCGCGGCCGGGTCATTGGGAGCGGTGGGCGCGTCGCGTTCGCCGCGATGCCATGTTGAGCCTATCCTGCTCTGTGGAGTGGCAAGGCGGAGAGGACGGACAGCGGCTGCGTCTGGGCCTGTTGAATCTGTCTCCAAGCGGGCCGCTGGCGTGGGCTCCGGCTCACACTCTGACGGCACTACACTCTGAGCCTGGACTGTGGAGTCACGGTTTGAGGCGCCCGCCGGGTTGTGTGTCGGCCGGCCGCTGCTGGTGGGGCCGGCGTCGAGGTGGCCGGCGCCGCGTGCTGACGCCGTGACCCCCGCCCCGCAGGCCGGTGCCGCCCGCCGCGCCGCCGCTCCACCGCAAGCCCAACCTGATCGTCAGCCCCGCTAAAGGTGAGCCGACGACCGGCGCGGCCGGTCTCTGGCCCGGGGCGGCCTGTCCTCGCTGCCCCGCTGGTCCGGAGGCAGTGAAGAGGACGGGGGCGTGGCTGCGGTAGCGTGACTCCGGGCGTCTCACTGCCGGACTGTGTACGCCCTTATGACGGGTTCTCAGCTCCAGGCTCGACAGCCGGTCTTCCCGTCCCAAAGCGGTAAAAGGCCGGTATTTAGCTATGATAGCTTCACGCATTCCAGCCTATTTTAGGCTTAGAACATAGCGCGTATGGTGTCGGGAAGGCTCTTTGGGGGCACTTTCGCCGCATGCCTGGTTCTAGCTCAGACGCCACAGCACTGTCTCGCCATGGCCAGACGTGCTTGAGCTGCCTGTGTGCGCCATCGCTCCGACCGCTTCCTGCTGACGCCGCCCCTCCGACAGCGTCTCCGGTGCCGACGCTCGGCTGGCCGGTCGCTGCTCCGGCTCCGCCGTCGCCGCCATCGTCGCCGCCTTCCCCACCTTCCCCACCTTCCCCGCCACCGCTACCGGCGCCGCCGACGACCACCAAGCGGACATTCGCCGTCGCCGTCGCCGGCCTGCCAAGCGGCCGCGTCCTGCCACCATCGGCGGTCACGTGGTGCTCATGACAGACGCCATGCAGCGGCGGGCCGGCCGCGCGCCGCGGGCCGACATGCCGCCCTCGGACACCGACGACCCGGAGTTCACCGGCTTCGCGGCCGGCGCGCTGGTGGCGGCGGCGCACGCGCCTGGCTGTCGCGCCGGCTGCGCGCTGGCTTCGCTTACACGCCGCGCTGTGGACGCGGCGCGCGTGGAGGCGCAGTTGGCGGCGGCGCGCGCCGCGCTCGCCAGCCTGTGGCGCAGGGAGGAGCGGCGGGAGCGCTGGCAGGCAGAGCGTGAGCGGAGGAGGCAGGCGCGGCGTCAGGCCGGAGGCGGAGCGGGCCGCCGCCGCCGCCGCCGCCGCCGCTGCGGTGTCACCGCCCGCGGGCGCTCTGGAGCCGGCGGCGGCGGCGGCGGAGGAGCCGCCGGAGCCGGAGTCGGCGGCGCGGCGCTCGTCCAGCCTCAGTGAGAGGGTGCGCGCCGTGGTGCAGCTGCAGCGGCTGCCGGACGGCCGCAGCATCGCTCAGCCGCCGCCGCCGCCGCCGCCGCCGGCTCAGACCGCCGCGCTGCGGCCGCCGCGGAAGCGGAGGCGGCGCCGCGCGGGCGACTGTTTCTCGGTGCTGAAGAAGCGCAAGCCAACGCGGCCGGCCGGCCAGACAGCGCCGCGGCCGCGGCCGCAGAAGCCTCCGCTGGTGGAGGCTGCCGCCGGCCGAGCCGCTGCCCCGCGGAGGTGAGGACAGCGGGCGGGCGGAGCGGTGCGGGCCGCCTTGGCAGGGAGGCGGAGCGAGCTCGGCTCGGGGTTCAGCGTCCGGCGCGCCCCGGAAGAGCCCCTCACTGCTGTAGCCCCGGCGCTGGGAGGGTTTTGTGAGCGACTGTTGGCTTAATGATACTCCTGACAGTTGGCAATTACGTAGGTAGGCGGCTTGCTTTGCACAGGCCCGATAGCTTGCGCCTGGCGGCAGTCAGACCCTCAGCTGTGTGTGAGACCGGCTTATGGTGGTGACATTTTCTTGGCGACACCGCACATCTCCGTTATCGGCTCCCGGCGGACAGCAGCGTGTCGTGTTAATTAGTGAGGCGTGGCTGCGGCCGTGGCTGGCGGGTCAAGGTTCTCCAGTGTACGGACCAGGGCCCGTCCGAGGTCGTCCTGCCCCCTCCCCCCAGCCTGTCCCTGTCTGCAATGCGGCTGACTGGCCGCACTAGAGCCGGACACCCGCGCGCTGTCCTCAGGAGTCGGAGCGCGATCCCACCGAGGGAGAACACGAGGATGAGGAGGAGGACGAAGAGGAGGAGGAAGAGGAGGAGGACGGCTCGGACGAGGGAGAGTACCAGAAGGAGAACGGTGGGTGGTCTGGTCGCGGCGTTCTCATCACCGCAGCCGCTGCCGTTAGTCGGCTGTCTCGGACACGGTGCGGGGTCGCGCGGTCCTCACCGTGTTCAGCTAGATGTTGATTTCGGCGGGCTGGGCGCCCCAGTGGCGCCGCACGTCTTGTGCTTCGGCCGGGCGTCAACAGTGCCAGCACTGGCTCCAACATAACCGGCTGAATTCGGCCAGGGCTATGTTCTGAGACCGTTCTCAGCCGGCTGACGGGGCTGAGGATGATCGGAGATCGTCACGAGTGTCTCTGTTTCGGTTCTCCGTTCGCCCGGCTGAGAATGGCCAGGCGCTGCCCAAATGTTCGGCGCGATGCCCCAGCCCAGTCACGTGTGCCAGTCAGTCCAGGCGATCAGCAGCTGCACGCCAGCCCAGCCGGCGCCGATGTGATACTCTTGGCCTGGGTGATACTCTTGACCTAGGTGGTGCCCCTGACCTAGGTGATGCCCTTTACCTAGGTGATGCCCTTTACCTAGGCGATGCCCTTGACCTATATGATGCCCTTGACCTAGGTGATCCCCTTGACCTGGGTGATGTCCTTGGCCTAGGTGATGCCGTTCACCTAAATGATGCCCTTGACCTAGGTGGTGTTTTTGTTTTGGATGTTGCCCGTGACCAAGACTGTGCACGTGACCTAAGTGATGCACGTAAGCTATATGATGTGCCAGCGTCCGGAGTGGTGCCCAGCCGCGGGCGCGTGTCCAGCCGCCGCCCGGACGCCCGTGTTCAGACGGCTGACCGGTGGCGTCCGTGCCCGGCTCGGCAGGCAAGCCGGTGATCATGGTGCTGCCGCCGGTGGTGCAGACGTTCGAGGGCGCGCAGCAGACGCGCACGCTCGACCTCGACACGCGCTGGGGCACCGTCAAGGTCAACGTGGTGCCCAAGATCCGCGAGAAGGACGGCAGCCTGCGCGAGCTGGCCAAGACCACGCGGTCAGTGGAGCTGGCGCGGGCCGCGGCGCGAGCCCGGGCGACGCCAGTGGCCGGAGAGGCGCCGGCCGGGGCTGACCGGGCCGGGCCTGACTTTGCTGGGGGAGGCGCGGCGTGTTGATCAGTCGCCTGCCGACCGTTGTGACGTCCGTGTTGTCGATGCCGGGGGTGGTCGGTATTACGGGGCACCGGTCGGTGAGTGGAAGGTGCAGTCAGCGGGACTGTCCGCGATGGCAGCGGAACCCAACCCGTTCGATCCCAAGGTCACGCCAGGCTACTGAGGTTCAGGATCTGGTGTGGCTGAGCGATCCGGTGTGGTTCGGCGATCTGGTTTGGCTAAGCGATCTGGTGTGGCTGAGCGATCTGGTGTGGCTGAGCGACCTGGTGTGGTTCAGCGATCTGGTGTGGCTGAGCGATCTGGTGTGGCTCAGATCTGGTTTGGCTGAGCAGACATGAGTGCTGCTGATGGGAACCTCCGATCCTTTGCAGCAACGCATGGGACGGGTCCTGCTACACAAACCTGTTCGCTACTTGTGGGTTCGCTACTATATGTAAACCCCTGTAACATCATTCCAGCATTTCTTCACTGATTCTGAGTCCCGCTAGGATTCACTGCGCGATGATCACCGCTTTTGAGGAGGCTTTTTTGTTTGCATGCCGACGGCGGGGCCTCTGAGCGCCCTCACAGGGCCGGCTGTAGGCGCGTGGCGGCGCCACTGAGCCGTGTTCTCCTCTGGCCGGCAGCAAGCGGGCGGGCCTGGCGGACGCGCGCGACCTGCTGCAGCCGCTGCGCGTGCACTGCGCCGTCAAGTACGTGCGCCGGCTGCCGCCGTTCTTGCCGGCGCCGGCGCCGACGCCGACCGAGCGGCGCCGCCCCGCCGAGCCGAGCGGCGCCGGCCGACCGGACCAGCCGAGCCGCGAGCGGGCGGCCACCAACGGCAGGCTGGACGGACGGAGGAGCGACGCAAGGGCTGCTCAGCACCCCTCTCTTGGTGTGTGTGCGTGCGCGCGCGCGCGTGTGTGCGTGTGCGTGTGCGCGCGCGTGTGCGTGCGTTTCATTTGGCAAGGGCAAGTGGTACAGTAAATGCCTTGTGAGATGAATTGCCTTAGTGCCTTTAGTTGCGGGCCCACTGCATGTATGTGGATGTTCCATTGTGGGCACGCTCGCCACCCGCCGTGCTTCGGGCAGCGCCCGTGGATGGGGTGGGCAGAGGAATGGGTGGGGGGCACGCAACCAAAGCGTGCCTGGTCTCGTTGGTTTGTAACATGTATTTTATTCTGTGATGAGACTCGAAAGCGTTTTGTGATAATCGACCATGGACTGGATGTGACCCTGACATCAAATCAGCTATGTAGTCAGACGTGTAGTTAGACATCTAGCCATCATTTAAACAGACATCTAGTAATTTTCTAGTCGAACATCCAACCAGGAGCCTGGCCATTCCCCTGTGCAAACGCAGCAGTTGTTGCCCCGTCCGGGCGCGCTCTCCGACTTTGCTGGCGTGACCGGGGGCGGCGCCTGACCCAGCCTGACGGCCGTGACCGGGGCGGCGCCTGACCCAGCCTGACGGCCGCGACCGGGGCGGCGCCTGGCCCAGCCTGACGGCCGCGACCGGTTGCAGGGCGACGGACCGGTCAGGGCCGGCAGGAGCTGACTATCCTGGAGCGGCTGATGCTGGAGCAGACGGAGTCGGCCGCCGCCGCCGCCGCCGGGCCGCCCTCCATCTTCGACCCGGACACGCCAGCCGACCGCGCCCTGCCGCGCTTCGTGTCGCTAGAGGACGACCTGCAGGTGGGAGCGCCGCCGCCTGGTAGGGAGGGGATGGGGAGCGGCCCGCCCGGCGGTGGGAAGCGCGCACCGCTGGGCCATAGAGCTCCGCTCAGGTCTGCGCGCAGCTCTGTGTCACAGTCCGCCTCGCTGACAATCGGGCAGGTGTGGGGCACCACTGACGCTCGGAGGTGTGGGGCACCACTGACGCTCGGAGATGTGTGAGACACCGCTGACATTCGGGGAGGTGTGGGACCCCGCCGACATTCGAGCTGGGCTCGGTGCAGGTGTCCGCTGTAGTCAGGGAGCGAGCGACGGGCGAGACCGGTCCAGCCGGGAGGCATCTGATGCACTTCAGTCCGCAGCCGAGTGAGCACCGAGATACTGAAAATACACCGCATACTGGCTGTGGCCAGGTGTGATGGCTATTTGCGTATTGCCTCCCCCCTTGGTTCGTTTCGCGGCTGTCACCACGCCGTGACCGCGGGAGACCATGGCTTGTGTTCGGCCGGCGAGGCTGATGGGACACTATAGTGGAGAGGATACGCTAGGATGTAGTGGAGAGGGTACGCTGTTTGAGTCTCCACCGTTTTTGAGGGCCCGTTGTTGAGAGCTCCATACAGAGCCCTGTTGAGGTCCGCTTTATCGCCCGGCTGCCCAAACATGACCACATCTCACATGACGTCTGCTGTCAAGTGTATGGCCCGGCTGAACCCGCGTCGTGGTCGGCGCTGTGTGAGGTAGCCGGCCGTCTGGTCGGCGCTGTGTGCGGCAGCCGACCGTCTGTTGCGCGGGCGTGCCACCCGGGTCGGGTCGGCCCAGAAGGGCTGCCACGACATGTAGCTTACTCTGTCTCTCGCCCGCCAGGCCTCCAGTTCAGACTCAGACTCAGATTCAAACTCAGACTCAGACTCAGAACAGGAGCCGAAGCGTTCGCCCGACTCGAAAGCAGCATCGCAACCAGACCCGGTGCCGGAGGTGGGGCCGACGCCGGAGCCAGAGCCGATGCCGGAGATGGAGTCTGCGCCGGAGCCAGAGCCAGTGCCGGAGATGGAGTCTGCGCCAGACCAAGAGCCGGCGCCGGAGATGGAGTCTGCGTCGAAGTCAGAGCCAGTGCCGGAGATGGAGTCTACGCCGAAGCCAGAGCCGGTGCCGGAGATGGTGTCTGCGCCGGAGCCAGAGCCGGTACCGGAGATAGTGTCTGCGCCGGAGCCAGAGCCGGTGCCGGAAATGGAGTCTGCGCCAGAGCAAGAGCCGGTGCCGGAGATGGAGTCTGCACCGGAACCAGAGGTGGTGCCGCAAAAAGAGTCTGCGCCGGAACCAGAGCTGGTGCCAGAAAGAAAGAGTGCGCCGGAGCAAGAGCCAACGCCGGAACTGAAGGCGGAGTCAAAGAAGGAGTCTGATCCGCCCACCGAGCGGGAGCCGCCGCCGGAGCGGGAGCCGCCGCCGGAGCGGGAGCCGCCACCGGAGCAGGAGCCGCCGCCGGAGCAGGAGCCGCCGCCGCCGCCGCAGCGCTCTGACCTGGATCTGCTGGCGCATATCTGCGAGAGCGAGAGCAAACAAGCGGCCGCTCAGCAGGTACGGGGATCGGCACGGCCCGCGCCGGTGGGGGAGGGGCGGGGCACGGGGGCTCGCTGGGCTGAGCGACGAGCGCGGAAGCACGAGCTGTGGTTAACCGATGCGGATAGTTGCCTCTGTATCGAGATAGGCGGGTGGCGTTGTCATGGGGCTAGGGCTGTTGTCCTACCGGCACCAGGGCGTGGCGCTGGCAACGTCCCCAGCTTTGTGAGTTAGAGAATAACATGGGAACGGATGTCTGGCAGCGGGCTGCTGCCGCCCAGCTTCGTCACGCGGAAGGAAAGACGGTACGGCTGGGATCCGCACCCGCAGGGAGTCGTGTTGTGATCGCTGTTGTCGAGGCGCTAGGTTCGGGCCCGTTCACGCCCTGTGCAGGGATCGATGTCAGACAGCGATGTCCAGCGGCGGCTGGCGGGAGTCGTGCGCCATCGAGGCGCTAGGTTCGGGCCCGTTCACGCACTGCAGGGATCGATGTCAGACAGCGGTGTTCAGCGGTGGCTGGCGGGAGTCGTGCGCCATCCAGGCGCTAGGTTCGGGCCCGTTCACGCACTGTGCAGGGATCGATGTCAGACAGCGGTGTTCAGCGGTGGCTGGCGGGAGTCGCGCGTCAGCCGATGCTCCGCAGCCGTTGTGGACACCGTGGTGGCAGCTGCGCGCCGCGTGGCGCGGCCAGCGGCATGCAACTGTTTTGCGGGTGCAGTGATTGTGTGGATTCGGCCGCAGGTCACGACCAAAGGCGGTGGCGATGCGCAGTCACCGCCATCTAACGGCCGCCCGGAGAGGGACGAGTTCACGTCGAGCGCCGATGATGGCAGTGTGGCATCGGCGACGGAGGTCCCTGGTGAGTCTGGATTTGTAGCGATACCTTGCTCACGTTGCGAACGGCCGTGCTTCGTGTTGTTGCATGACTGTATCACCCCGCAGCCACGCTAAGCAGTGATGCTGCCTAATGAGTAATGAAAATAATGCTAATGCAAGGCAAGTTGTATTGCCTTTGGTAAGTTCGCGCAATTCCGACTGCCGCTCTCATTGACCGCCGAGTTTCACACGCGCATCCTGTGTGGTGGAAGAAAACAGGGCAAGAAGTGCACTTGACTATTGACGTTTTTGTGGCCCCCGGCGAATTTTATGGCATGCCGTGTTGCATTCTCCCTATTCATCGCATCGTCTTCTTTGTTACACAAGTGAGACGTATGTGAAGTTGCATAGCCCCGGGAGTCGCGGTGCCTGCCTGTCGCTTTTGCATTACCGTGCTGTGCTGCCCTCGTGGTGGGAGGTCCGAGGGCGCCACCCCCTCCCCGTCCCCCCTCCCGCCCATTTCTGCTGAAAACGATCGAGCTGATCACGTGGCCTGATTTGGACCGCGCACAGTAAGCCGGGTGGGCATGCCGCTGACAGTGACCTCTGCTGGTGACCTATTGACCTCTGATGATCTCCAGTGACCTCTATTGACGTCCGTTGGCCTGTGCTGACTTCCTGCTCCCTACCGACCTGTCGTTCCCCAGTGACCCCCGCTGACCTCTCCTGACCCGCTGACCTCTGGTGACCCATCTATCGGGTCACCCGATGGGTCACCAAACCCATCTGGTCTGGTGACCCTCCTGTGACCCGCGCTGACCTCTTGTTACCCCGATGGCTGTTCATGACCCATGCTGACCTGTCGTGACCTCCGCTGACCTCTCGTGACCTCGGCAGCCGAGTCGGTGGAGGGCGTGGACAGCTCGGGCCGCGTGCGGATCGTGCTGGCGGACGGCACGGCCGTCATCGCCGACCTCGGCGACCTGGACATGCTGGATGACCCAGGTCAGCGTCATCGGCCGCCGCCCGCCGCCCGGTCGCCGGTGCGCGTCGGCCAGTGGCCGCGGGCTGCAGCGCCGTGGCCGTGGTCCGCCGGGCCGTGGCGCTGTCACTGGTGGCCGTGGTGATGCCACCACCGGGGCGTGATAGTGGTGCTGTGGGTGGCGGTGCTGTTGCCGTCAGGTCATGCCGCTTTGTCTCCCTGGCACGGCTCTTGGGTCAGTGTGGTTGTAGCGCTGTTACTGTTGGAGCATGGCGTGCGGTGGCATCCGTCCAGTTGGGTGCTGGGAAGTCGCTGCGAATTCATGCCATCGGACCTCCGTCTCCTCGGAGGACCTGCCGTTTGCGTGCCCCCACACTTCCCCTGCTACTAATGCATTGCCCTTTGACCCGCGAACTCTTGCAGTCTGACCTGCCTGTCCCATTGGTTTTTACCTGACCTGACCACCCGATTTGCGTTGCCTGGGGGGCTATCGGGCTCGGTGCTGATTGGCCGATTTTGAGCGCGGGGCGGGGCAACGCGCGGTGGATCAGGAGGCACGTGAGCGAGACCTAAATATCCGTCTCCGTGGCGCCCGAGCGGCGGAAGTCTGCCACACTGCCCCCGGGTCACCGCCGGCCATCTGCCGACCATTGCTGGCGTCCCATGTGTCGCAATCACAGCGACTGGTAATCCCATGCGTCGCGATCACAGCGGCTGGCAATCCCATGCGTCGCAGTCACAGCAGCTGGCAATCCCATGCGTCGCAATCATAGCGGTTTGCAATCTCATGCATCGCGATCACAGCAGCTGGCAGCGCCATGGCGTCGTGTTGTGATAGCCCAGGGCGGCCCCGCGGCGGCGAGCCGGGTCTAATGACCTCACCGGAGCTGACGAGGTCACCAGGTCGCTGGGGGAAGCGCGGGCAGCAGCTGATCTGCCCGGTCGGGTCACCGCTCCGGCCCTGACCCGCGGGTTCACCACCTGAGCGGACTGACGCCGCCCGCCCAACGGCGGTTAGACGAACCAGCGGGCCTCTGTCCGGAGGCCGCGCCAGGCTGTTAACAGGGGGGGGGGGGGGGAGGGGGAGGGGTCAGGCTTTTCAAAGTCATTCTTTGTGTGCAGCGCTGCAGTCGCTATGTTGCTTGCATTGTTCTGCTTAGGGAAGGGGAGAGCGAGGTGCTGAACTGCCCTGTCTCTGTCTGTGGTGGTAAGCGAGCTTTGGGGAGACTGGTGTTTGGGGATGATGGACAAACTGAAGCGCCGCACGGCCCCTGGGCAGCGGCGGGCGCAGTCCCGGTCGTCTCGAATCGGCTGTCGTTGGCGCGCTCGATGTCGGGCCCTGTCGAGCCGGCACCCACAGCGGCCGCCGCCGTTGGCCGCGCTGACCCCGCCCGCCTGTCGGCAGTGATGGCCGAGGGACTGGAGGCGGAGACCAGCGCCGAGCAGTAGCCGCGCGCGGGCCCCAGCGCTGCCGGGGGCTCCAGTACGGCGCTGGTGCTGGACGCGGACTCCAAGACGGCGCTGGTGTTGGACGCGGGCCCAGCGCTGCCGCGTATCTCCAGGACGGCGCTGGTGCTGGACGCGGACTCCAAGACGGCGCTGGTGCTGGACACGGACCCAGCGCTGCCGCGTATCTCCAGGACGGCGCTGGTGCTGGACGCGGACTCAGCGCTGCCGCGTACCTCCAGGACGACGCTGGTGCTGGACGCCCGTCCCGTACAGCGGCGATGCCGCCCACTCGTCGTCAGCGTGGCGTGGGCTGTTCACGAGTGCGCGTACGGCACGACTTCCTGTGTGGCCAACGTGAAGCATGGTCAGGTTTTTTGGCGTGTCGACGCGGCGGGCGCCTCTGGTACCGGGGAGCGCTACCTCGCGTTCGCCCTGTTATATCAGCCTGTTGGGAGGAGCGGGTCGTCAGCTACGCTCGGACTAGAGCCGGCTGGCGACGCGTCGCCAGCGGCTCTCGCGGTTAGCGAGCCGGGGCCCACAGCTGCGGACTGGCGGACCACACGCCGCGGGGAGGTGATGACTCCAGGGAGGGGAGGGGAGGGGGCACCCATGGAGGGTGGGATGATTCGCTGGGGGGAGGGGAGGGAGGGGGGGGGAGAGCCGACCCTGCGGGGAGGCGCGGCCCGCGGCCGTCGCTGGCGCACCCTCAGTATTCGTGGAGACGCTTTCGTGCCCGGTGTGGCGCCGGCCCCGCTCCGGGGCGTCAGGGACAGCGGCAGCACTTCGTTCATACTCGTGTCGGCCACAGCGGCCCAATCATACCCTGCACGTGTCGGCCGGCGGGCACGTCATCAGCGGCCCGGCGCCGGCCGTGCTGAGGCGCCCCCGTGGCGCTCGTGTGTGCCGTGTGGCGCTCGGGTGGCAGTGGCCTGGTATGCGTGTTCGGCGGCGCCCATATGTATTTTGCCGCGGCAGTGACGAAATACAGTCAGCCATGTTTTTTCTGCGGCGTCTGGTGCGTACGCGGTCCGCACTGGCGCCAGCGAGTGGCGCGGCCGGCCGTGTGTGCCTTGTGGTCTTCTCGAGGCCGCAGGTTGGCGATAGGGAGGCTGGGGAGGGGGGGGAGGGGGCGGGGCGGGGGAGCGAGGCAGCGTCCCGGCCGCACTGGTGGACGGGCGTGCTTAACTCGGGCACTGGTGAAGCCGCACTCGAGGCTGGCGGAGCTGGTGGCTTGGACACTGGTGAAGCCGCACTCTAGGCTGGCGGAGCTGGTGGCTTGGACACTGGTGGAGCCGCATTCGAGGCTGGCGGAGCTGGTGGCTTGGGCACTGGTGAAGCCGCACTCGAGGCTGGCGGAGCTGGTGGCTTGGGCACTGGTGAAGCCGTACTCGAGGCTGGCGGAGCTGGTGGCCTTGGACTCTGGTGAAGCCGCACTCGAGGCTGGCGGAGCTGGTGGTTAGCGTCACTCCCATGGCTCGGCGATCGCGTCGTTGGAACCTGTTGATATGTGCTGGATATAGCTGCCAGCAGCGGATTCAGATGGAGCCGTGGTGGTCCACGTCATTTCTGGACGTAATAAGTGCACAGGCGAGCTCAAACCACGCATATTGTTTCAGTGAGGTAACTCAGCTGTGATGAACATTGGATGTGTGTACAGCATCGCTCGCACCATCACGCCCTCAACCAGCACCGCTCCGTCCGAGACACCGACGCCATCACACGCTACACAATCCATGCGGCATGCACACGAACATCAACATGGGCACGTCCGAAGCGGACTGGGCCACGTTGCTGCGGCACCTTTCCGACCACCCCGAATGCGCACACGCACGATGCTGGCGGCCGTCACCTGGTGTCGCGCCGCACTTTCAGCCGGACGCGGCTGTGTCGCGCCGCACTTTCAGGTCACGGCGCCGGTGCGGCCGTCGCTCGCGCCGCGCTTCGGCCGTCGCCGGCGCGGCCGCGCCGCTCGGCCCAGGTTGGGGCCCGCCGGGGCGCGCGGCGCGCCGGCCTGCACCAGTCCGGCCGTGCACAGCAGCCAGTCCACGGCCGCGAAGCAGCGGTCGTGCAGACCGAGCAGCGAGAGGCCGAGGAGGAAGGCGAGCAGCCCGCCGGCGTCCACGGCCCGCCTGGTCGACGCCGTACAGCCAGTTCTCGCGGATCACTGTCAGGCGGGGCGGGCAGCAGCAGGCGCAGCAGGATGTCGCTGGAGCGGCCCCGCTCCTCGTCCTGATGCAGCGCCCTGCCGGCCGGCACCAGGCGCATCCGGTGCTGGCGGCAGGCTGGCGGGCAGACCCGGCGGCCAGCGCGCCGCGGCCGGGTCCAGCGCCGCCGCGTCCGGCATGTATGTGGCTGCCGCGCCGCGCGAAACGACTCGTTAAACTCGGCGGCCGAAGAGCACGGCCGCACGCCGACGAACTCCGTCATCCACGGGTAGGCCGTCTCCGCCGTGAGGAAGGCGACGTTGCGGTTTCAACATGTGCGGAATGTGCCCCTTGGCGAGTCGCAGCATGCGCACGGCCGTCATGTTGAACACCAGCGCGTCCATCCAGGGCATCGTGCAGCTGGCGGCGCGCAGCAGACTGCGTGCCAGGCACCACGTCAGGCAGTTGACGTGCGCGCCCGGCTCGTCGCCGCTCCAGCTGCAGCCGTGCCGCGTGGGGCGACATCCACTCCTTGCGCTCCGCCTGTAGGCGCAGCTCCAGCGGCTCCCTCAGATCCGTGCGGAACGGCACCAGGTCCGAGACGAGTGCAAACTCGCTGAACTCGCCGGCCACGTAGGCGAACACGTCGACGAAGCTGGCCGCCACACCGTCCAGCAGCTGTTCCCGGTCCACGGGCGCTATAGTGAGCTCGAAGACGGCGTCGGCGCCGGGTGCCGTCCCGCTGCTGGCTTTCACCGAGAAGTTGGTGCAGACCGAGTAGCGGAACAGGAAAGCCATCTCCATGTTGCGAGGCTGCTGACCGTCGATGCCCATTCGTATCATCTCCATGGCGCCCGCCGTCGACGACACGGGCGGCCCCACAAGCGCGTACGGCGATTGGTGCCACGGGAAGCGCGCGCCGAACAGGCGCTGGTAGCTGGCTGCGTCGTCGACGGCGTGCGGCGCTAGACTGCCCAGCGCGCCGGCGGGCAGGCGCGGGTCCGAAGCACAACGCCACCTCGAGCCAGTGGTCAGTCCGGCCGCTCCCACGTCCGCTGGCGCGCGACGCCTTCTTGCCAGAACAGCATGAACGGTCGTGGGCGACCAGGCCGAGCAGCGCCAGCGCCGCCAGGAGCGCCGCCGAGTGCGAGCCCACCAGCGCCTTCGCTGTGGCGACGTTGTAGCGCCAGCGTATGACGCGTGACTTGGCGGCCGGCGCGGGGGGCGCGTTGCCGGAGGAGGCGGCGGCGACGGCGTGGCGCCGGGCGTGCGAGACGGCTCTTCCGAGGCGACCACGGGAGCGCTGAAGACGACCGACGGCGCGTTGGGGGCGACCAGCGGTGCGTTGGAGGCGACCAGCGGCGCGTTGGAGGAGACCAGTGGCGCGTTTGGGGCCGACCAGCGGCGCGTTGGAGGCGACGAGCGGCGCGTTGGAGGCGACCAGCGGCGCATTGGAGGAGACCAGTGGCGCGTTGGGGGTGACCAGCGGCGCGTTGGAGGCGACCAGCGGCGCGTTGTAGGAGGCCGACGACGCGTTAGAAGTGACCGACGACGCGTTAGAAGTGACCGACGACGCGTTAGAAGTGACCGACGACGCGTTGGAGGCGGCCAGCGGCGCGTTGGGGGCGACCAGCGGCGCGTTGGAGGTGGCCAGCGGCGCGTTGGAGGCGACCACCGGCTCGTTTGAGGTAACCGACGACGCGTTAGAAGTGACCGACGACGCGTTGGAGGCGACCGATGGCGTGTTGGAGGCAATCAACGGTGCGTTGGATTCGACCAGCGGCGCGTCGGATTCGACCAGCGGCGCGCTGGAGGCGACCGCCGAGGCGTTGGCGGCGACCGTCGGCGCGTTGGAAGGCGCTGGCAGCGGCGCGGCGTTGCCATTAGCTGAAGAGGAGCGCTCCAGCCCGGTGGACGGGTTACCGAGGGCGCCGGAGTCACCGGACGTGGGCGGATCCAGCGCGGACCGGGAGCGCGCCGTCTCCTCCTGAGACATGTCTTCGCACTGGCGACCGTCTCTGCTCTGTTCGACGAAGCGTTGCTCGAGCTGGCTTTTGCTTTACCAACTAAGAACGTTAGATAGCCTTGCTATGGTCGGTCCTCCTCACGCAGTGGAGCCTATCCCACAAACTTGTGACCGTTTCACGAGGCTCAGCAGGTGAATACGTTTGGTGGCCGTCACATAAACCAGGGTTGCGATGAGAGGCAGGGTCCTACTTGACGCTGTTGGGGGCTTCAGCCGCAGGCGTCGACCAGCGCGGGACAGAAGCGGACCTCAGGGTGGGAATAACGCAAAGTCGCCGACATCCTAGCGCGTGATCGGCGCAAGAAACGGATGTTTTGTCGAAGGACGCCGAACGGAGGCGAAGCCCATCAACCACTTCATACTCATTACTTTTTATTTTAAAATACACGATTTTGTGGAAGCAGGTTAATGGAAACACGGTGTCAAGGCACATCAATGCTTCGTGATGCAAGCAGATTTAGCTGCGATTTTTCGAAATATCCATCACCCGTGATGAACACGTGCCTCTTGTGGTCACAAGACTCGCAGGAAAATTGCACTGAACAATCATTCCACATCCGACGTCTCTGGCGTTAACGTGTACTGCTGGACTTGACCCAGAGTACTCTTTTGCAACAGCGTAGTATCGGACGCATAGTTCCTTTGTGCCAATGATCAGGCCCTTCGCGGCGTCGAAGTACGCGACAAATGTTTTTTTTTTCATGTAGTCCCGCGCCTTCACGATCTTCACTTCACGGAGTCAACGCCACTTCTGGCTTCAAAGGCACGTACTGTTTATTGGTGCTGCTCAAGTATGCCGCGAACACCATACCTGCGTGAACGCTATCTTACCTGTGCCAGAT